TATTTTCTCCCCTTCAACCTCATGCGTCAAAAAAAAGCTGGGTGATGGGTGAGTCTGAATGTGGATATAAGAGAGTGAGAAAGTGGGCGAGACAGGCTACCAGGGAATCAGTATTCATAGTCTACAGCCAGTTCTGCCAGCCCTGTCTCACAGTAGGGGTTCAGCGCTATGAAGATAAAGTGATTTTTCTGGAGTGAGTGACCCTAATTTTGACCCGAGGCACACATACACACCCCACCCACACTGTACAAGCGCAAACACACACTCATATCCAGTAATTAAGCAGGCAGGAAATGAAATCCATAGCTCAACCTTTGTAACATCCCCGCACTCTCGTTCTCTTATGTCACTGCTCTGAAATGCATTTACACCACAGGGTTTCCTCTGCATATCTGCATGCAAACTGGACCACCTAAGGGCTTTTGTCCGTCCTGTTAGCAGTTAGCCAGCACCTTGACCCTCTGTTGAAGCAGAGGAATTCTCACTTTTACACCACAGCTGTTGCAGTAAAATTCCGTATTAATTGTGGAATATTTAAAGCAGCACAATGTAAGAATGATGATTTTTTTTTTCTTTTTTTCCTGGCTCATTTGTAAAGGACGAGTCATTCTGGGCCTAATTTCCACCACGCATTTACTCACTGTGAGAGTGCAGAAGGACGAAGACGGGAGCAGAGAGGGCGGAGATCGCGGCGGACGATCAGCCCCGGAGCGCTAACCCCTGCTCTCCTTCTCCTTCTGTCCTTTCATCCGCCTCTCTTCCCTCTCTCGTCTATCAGAGCGCTCATCTCCCCGGCAAATTGAATTCCTCCCAGAATCTGCCTAAGCAGCTTCATAAGACCAGCCAGAGAGTGGAGACATGCACGTGACGCAGCAAGAGTGAGGGGGGAAAAAAAAAAAAAAAAAAAAAAAAGTGTGTATGTGAGTGTGCACGTCTTTCCTTCTTGACTCTGCTGTCACATTTGAAGGCCAATCTCTCTGTTAGGCGGCATTCCTCCTGAAGAGACAAAAAGAGGAGACCTTGAGCTGCCGCACTCTTTGACAGCAATGGACCGAGGGGCAACAAGAGAAGCAGGGATGTACAAAGCAAAGGCGAGGTGGTCTTCGTAGACAGACAGGTGGCTGGATGCTGGAGCTGGTGAGACAGACAGACAGGTTAGAACAAGGGAAGACTGCGGGGTAGAGGGAGTGACGCGTTGACATTGAGCGACAGAGAGACAGACGGCGAGGAAGACAGAGAGACGGACAGTGTCAGTGAGTGAAACATGCTGTTAGCTGACCTCGCTCCTCTCGGATGTGGTGTTCTCTGTCCGCCTATAGTTCCTAATGGACTGTCTTCAAAGTAAAAGGAAAGGATTAAAGAACCATACGGAGTGGAGGGGAGGGGGGGGACAGGAGTGTCAGCACAACAATCACTACAAGGATAGATGGAGGCTGGTGAGAAATGCCTACATGTACACATGCAGCAGCCATTGTAACTGATGTATTTATAAGGCTTTTAAAGCTTTTCTCTCTCGCAAACACATGTTGGCACTTTTACATTGGTGAGAACACTCCGTGACACAATACATTCCTTAACCCCTGCTCTAACCGGAGCTGACATAAATGGATACCTAGCCCTGTATAGTCAGACCTATTTCCACGGGTCTGTGTCAACGCAGGAGAATGCACCTTATTATCATTTGACTTAAAAAAATAACTATTGCCTTTAAACCAAAATCGTCTTGGATACTGCTAAGCTCAGGATGTAGCAACGGTTCCTCTTCAAAATGCAGACAGGGGAATTGTTGTGGTGGAACATTTGGATGCAGGACGGCAGCCACTGTTTCTAAAATGGCTAATCCACCAAGAACCAAGCAGGCCTGCCTTACTGCAAGAAACTTACTATTTTCAGCATGTAGCTTTCTGCTTGGAGGCTGTTGTTGTTTCCGTAGCAAAGGAGATTCTGAAAACAGTAATTTAGTAGCTACTTTATTCAGTGAGTGCAGCCCCGTGTCCACAAAATTACGTTCTTATACGACAAAACTGCATTCCCAACTAGGTTTAGGAGAGAAGGAGGTTTTCTGCTGATTTATATTTATTTGTCACATAAATATGTTTGTAATCAACCTATTTGGTCCAATCACATATTAGACGATTGAACCTAATCATGGTATTTTTTCGAATTCAAGCCAAGTAGTTTTAGTAGCTAAACTTAACCAAACATTTCACGTGTAGTTATCATTGTGAAACTGTCAGTCATAGTGTGATAGTAGTTTTGTTACCTACCCGAAAAGCGAGATAATGACATCACAACAAGGAAGTAAATTTATTTCAAAATGAAATTACTTTTATTTCAAAATGTAATTGAGAATGCAGTTTAGTTGTGGTGGAGTGTAATTTGACGGAGACAGGGTTTCTGAGTGGCCGAGAGGAGCTGAGACGAGGAGGTGGAGCCAGCTTGGGGCGTGGCTTATCCTGTTGTGACATCACAACAGGCTGCAAACCTTAAAGCTCATACAAAGACACAGTTTCTGATCGATGGAAAAAGAGAAGAAACAAGGGGATGGTCGTTTCTCACACTCTGTAGACACACTTATGCACTTAATTACGTTTAAAACAATTAAAAGCTGGAATTTGCATCATGCGTCTCCTTTAGCAGCTTTCAATCAGCTGTTTGAAGGTTTGCCATGAAGTGAGAACTGACCAAAATATCCTCACTCCCAAGGTCTAAACCTGAAGCTGGTCCTCACAGAGATGCAGGCACACACATTCTCTCTCTCCGACACACACACACACACACACACACACACACACACAGCAGGCAGGCAGCAGTGAATTATAGTGCTGGTCAGCAGTATGACATTGGAGTCTGCATTGCCAGCCATCGTTGTGTAGAACCGGAATATTCCAAATAAATCCTTAGGCTCACACACAAACACACACAAACACTCCCACCGTGGTTTCTGTGTCTCAGATGGAACACCTCCCTCTTGTGCAGAGAGCAGGCAGCTATCAATCTAAAAGAAAGAAGGAGAGAGTGAAACAGTGGGAAGTAGAGAAAGAGAAGAGGAGAAAAAATGTGGCCCTGAGACTTCCACTGGGAATAAGGAATAAGGAAGGGAACAGAGACAATGGAGACGAAGTGAGAGGGCTGCAGGAGATACAGAAATGAGAAAGTTGACACGGCAGGGAGGAGAGACGATCCAGTTGACAGCAGAGGCAGAGAGATGGAGAGAATGTAAAGCTCTGTATTAGAGTTATGGACCTGTCCATATTTACTGTAGCAAGCAGACACACTTGCCTCCTCTTCACCGTTTTTGTGCGTATGCATATTTAAACCCACTGTACAGCCCAAACCCCAGATGCTGATTTTTGTTCAGTGGATCCAGGCCTCAACACATGCTGACAGATCCAGCAGCTAGTGGCCGTGGACAGTCTCTTTACCCTTGATGCCTCTATGCTGTGTGATGGTGAGCCAGGTCTGAACACCTGAGCCAAGAGTTAAAGACTGGATGGCATTGTTTAGACAGCAGCTGCAGCTGAGCCGCTCAGAAAATGTTCCTTGTAAGGCAGTGCGAGTGATTTCAACAGGCTTACCACTAGATTCAACTTGGGCTCTGTGAGTGACTGTAAAATGCAATAGTATAAAATGTCTGTGCTTGGATCCCTAGACGTTTAGCTGTACAATATATACTGTTAGCGATAAATCTTTTTTCCCTGATAGAATTTCCACAAGGGAATGAATAAAGTATCTATCTATCGAGAAGAAAATAATGGAGGTGAAGAGAACCACTGTGGATTATCTTAAAAGGCTGTGTATCAGCCGAACGGGCTCATCGGCCCAAAGAATTCAGAATGCGACAAGCTTGAGCGAGCAACTTCATCATCGTCACATCTGTACTTTTCTGACTGATCGACCGGATGTACAGTCTCATTTTTGAAAATTTTGGATTGAAAACTGGCTGTGAACTAGAGGTTGACCTTTGCCTCCATGAAGAACTTAAAAGGCAACGTACACTGGCATTTGATATGCTTTCAGCACCGCCAGCGACACACAGCAGATGCTCTGTGCAGGCAGAAGAAGTAGTCAAGTTACGGTGTGTCTTTCCAGGGAGTAAATGTGATAGAATTGCTGCTTTTCTGGACCATTGATGCACATCAGTGCTGGGAAATAGGACGTGTCGATGCGGTGATGCATGTTGTCATGCACATGCTCCTGGTGTGTGGGCTTACATAGAAAACAAAACGCTGTGCAAGTGTTTTGGAATGCATCATATGCCATCATAACCGTGCTGCCTGTAAGGGCATGCATTTATTTTCAGGGTATGTTAAAAGCTATTTCATGATTTACAACATTGTTAACATTAAATATGGCATACCAAGGACATTTAGGTCAGAACCTCTATTTAATATAAAGTCATTAGAGTGACAAATCACAACATGTTCTAACCAGTGCAGACATGTTTCTTATATAAACATTTGAAGGTTTCTGAAACCTTCTTGCGGATTTTTGAAAGGAAAACTTTTAAGTGTGTGTCTGTAGATTTGATGACAAAAGTCTGCAAGAGCAGAAACATAATAAAGCTTCAAGAGACGTCACTAATGGAGAGAGGGATCTCCAGACAGTCCTACAGACAAGAGCAGAGAACAAGTACATCAAAATGAATACACATGAAGTTGCAGTGAAATTTCTTTTTATTGATGCTTTAAAAAAAAAAAAAAAAGTTTTCATATCTGATTTGGCATTTGCTAAATGGCTTTCCACAGCGTTGTTACACAATTTGAAGATTGCAGTCTAACTAAGTACAATAATTTCAGTAAACATTGTTATGTCAGCGTATTTTTCCAACTAGTCTTTGTGCCAAGGACGCAAAATGTATGATTTTTTTTTTTTTCACCCATTTTTGTGGTGGTAAATACAGCTGAGATGTGCTGTATTGTCTTAGAATGACTAATGCGGACTTCTTCAAATAACAAAAATAACATCCTTTCCTTTCTGTGTCTCTGTCTGTTTGTCAGAAGTGGCTCCCTACCTACGAGGGGGTGGACTGGGGCAGCAGGTGGTGTTGGAAGGAAACAGACTGGTGCTGACCTGCCTGGCTGGAGGCAGCTGGCCTCTGCAGTACCGCTGGACTCTCAACAACAGCAACATCACTGACTGGACACCCCAGTACAGGTCAGCTGGCACCAACTGGCTGGTTATGTGCCTTTTTGTCATGGATATGTCTGTTGTCTTAAAGTGTGTGTGCGTGCCTCTCTTGATATCCTTTCTTCCTTCTCCCTTTTCATCCTTCCCTCTTGACGTTTTTTTCTACATGTTCAGTCATGCCTGTAACATGTACAAACAGCTGCATCGTCAGAGCTGCGCCCGTTAGTGATGGAGCGTGTTTAGAGAAGGTCACAGCATTTAGACAGCAGAGCCAAAGTGAGATTAATAATTACATTAGCGCCATAAATATGTATATGGTCTGGGGAAAGAAGAGGAGAACTAATCAATATGTCTGAGCTATTTCTTTGCTTTTCTCTCTGTACCTCTTTTCTTGTCTTTTCTGCCCCTCCCTCTCTGTCCCTGTGTGTGTTGGTTGGTAAGGGCTAAGCAATCCCTCTCGGCAAAACTGCAGCTGTGAAACAAAATTGTTTTTCACATCATTCAGAAATAGAGGGAATCTTGGGAACGCATACACACTGAGGGAGGGAGAGGTTGAGCCAGCATTTTGTAGGCAGTCGTTGTTCGAGCCAGGAGGCGTTGTGTAGCTCTGGACTGCTCTCAGCGTTCTGGCTACTTTCGTTTAGTGAGGCTGGGGCTATGCTGAATTGGCAGGGTGCTGTGGATGTGAGTCTGTGTGAGCATGTGACCATCTGGAATTGTAAGCCCTGTTTTAATGTTATACCTTTACAAATGCTACATTTACATTTTTTACTGATGGTTGAATGCAGGTCTGTAGTGTAGGACACTGAAGCCCAGTTGTTTCTGATGTTTAATCCATTACCATGCTTGGCACCTCGCTGCCATTGGTGTGTAAGTGTGTGTGCGTGTGTATGTGTGTGTCTACTTATATTACACATATTGTGGGGACATAGTATATTTAGGCATTCACATGGGGACTCACATCCCTTTTCGGAACAAAAAAAAAGCAGGTCCCCATAATATAAATATTGACATATTGAGGTAAAGACATGGTTTTTCTCTCTGAACCTCAAAACCCACCACAGGTTTAAACATTATTATTTTTGCAATCACCAAAGTTACACTCTTTAGCATAGCGAGCACATGTAAAAACATCTGATTTCCAACTTTCCAGCGATTCTTGAACTAATCATGTGTGTTTTGGTTTTGTTTGGAAAAGCACATCACATCTGCGCTAGACATTGGGATATTTTGTCAAAATCACTTTATTCTAAATGCCTTATTTAAACATTTACCAAAATTCAACCATTTGCAGGAACTGAATTCTATTTTTAAATAAATTCTGCATCCTCGGTACAACCGTTAGTATCTCACAGTCCCATGATGGAAAACAATTCCAGGAGTTTTTGGCTCAACTGCATGCTGTACTTACACAAAGCAGAGCGGACGCAGCTATAGAAACAAATTAAAGATGTAAGTAGTAAAATATGTATAGTCTGTCCAGCCGTCCTTTTTCTTAGTACATGCTAATTTCAGATTTTATATATACACAAAAGAGCTTTTTGAGATGTTTCTACTTCCATCCGTGGTTGCTGTTTGCATCGAGGTGTAGGACTTTATAGAGCAGCAGAAATTAAACCCTTGGGCTGCAAGGTGGCTCGGTGGTTAGTGCCTCGCTGCTAGAAGGTCCCCGGTTCGTGTCCTGGTTAGGACGCCCGGGATCTTTCTGCGTGGAGTTTGCATGTTCTCCCCGTGCAGCGTGGGTTCTTTCTGGATTCTCCGGCGTCCTCCCACAGTCAAAAAAACAGGTTGATTTAATTGGTGATTCTAAATTGTCCGTAGGTGTGAATGTGACTGTGCTTGGTTGTCTGTCTGTAAGTGTAGCCCTGTGATAGACTGGCGATCCCTGCCTTCACCCTGAGTCAGCTGGGATAGACTCCAGCCTCCCGCGACACTAGTGAGGATTAAGAGGTGTACAGATAATGGATGGAAATTAAACTCATGGTGAATAAAAATGGAACAGGAACAAAAAAATACTCAAAAACTGCTTGGGGTTCAAAGGGTTATGGTTAGGGTTGGGCAAGTAGAGAAAATCTAAGTCAGTATCCTGAGTATTGCCCTCTGAAATGATGGAAACTGGACTGTGTGTGTGTGTGTGTGTGTGTGTGTGTGTGTGTGTGTGCGCGAATACTTGAATAGGAGACACATTTTAAAGACATCTGAATAAAAACACAATATAAATGCAGTTCATTCCATTTTCACATAAATTCAGAAGATAATTCTGGCCGATACAGAGAAACACATTTGGTCCCTTTCCCAGCATCCTTTTTAGAATATTTGACTTTTCTTTACCTCCTATGCTGGTTAATGTACTGGACAGCGCTGAATTCAGATGAGCAGCTCTGTAAGTGAAAATGATTTACATTAATGGACACTTCAGCTGGGTTTCTTTTTCATTGGCAGTTCAACTGCTGCGGCCTCTAGTTTTTTACATATAATGAGTTTGGGGGGGGAAAAATAAAAAAAAATCATCACCAGCCAAGTTGGACTTACAAAAAAAGAAAGAAGTAACATTTGCATTATTTTCAGTTAGCTGGACCATTTTAATGTCTGTAAAACTGCATCTTTGGCTGGCAAGTAAAGTTTTTTTTAAATTTTTTTTATTTTAACAAACAACATTTTGCGTCGCTAACCCTGTTGTCAGTTACTGGCTGGACAGGGACTGAAGGGAGGTGATATATACTCAATAGGATGGGTGTAGGTTTCCAATGGGACATAATGGAAATATCCCCTCAGTGTTTAGAACTCATGGAGTTGTCCTCCTCTCATAGAAACACTTATTCAGTATATCAAACACCAATATGTGTAATATGCTTTAAAATGTTTTGAGCTTTAGCCAAAAACCTGCAAAGTTCGAGGTATTTATAAATTCATTAACATTAATTTATCAGTGGTTTGAATATATACTGGAGAATAAATATTTGAAAGTAATACTGAATGCCTGAGAGTCTTACAGAATCGTTTTCCTTTATATTTTGAATTGCCGCTTTGCCTAATTATGTTTTAATTTACATGAATAAAGACATTCCACTATAAATTGTTGCAGAAAAGGCATACATTGGTGCATATAAATGGACTAAAATTCAGGATATGAAATTGTGGATGCTTAAAATTTTCAGGGGGGTGAATCCCAGAATGAGTGCCTCTTCAGTGTTCAAATGAAATCTATGCCAATGTTTAACCCAGTGTAATATGGTAATACTTCCAGTTTTATAATCATAGAAAGCCTGTTGATAATTGATTTATATGCACATCCTTAGGTTCTGTTACATATTAAACACTGAGTTACAAGTAAAATGATGTTCCTCTGCATTCAGAACCAAAATCTGCAGTTCCCCACATGGCCACTTGAGGCTGACTACAAAAGTGACCCAATCCTTATAGACCTTTGTAGTAAAATGTGCAATTTCACAACAGAAGCAAACATTTTTACAGCCTGGTACAAAAAAAACAAAACAAAAAAAACAATCTATTGCTAATTTTTCCATTTGTGACAACTAGATGGATTTGAATTTTATATAACTTCCCCGTTTACATTGTATTATGTCTTAAACTTATACATAATTTCAGGTGTGGTCACTTTGAGTGCCAGGTGGATGTCGACATAGGACAGCCCATGGCCGCCCTTCGCTCCACTTCTGCTCCTTCAGGCAGCGTAAGACACTGTCAAGATAGCAATGACTGGAGCCACCACACTGAGACTCAAAACCTCTCTTCAGGAAGCCAATGAATGATCCCAGCGAGTTATCTTTCATCTTTATGTACAGTCAGTGGTTTGGGTGGATGCTACGAGGAGGGTTCTTTCAGTCATTGCTGTTTTGTCAATCAGTCTAGCAATAAAATCTGATGGAAATTGTTTTTGTCTTAAATCAGTCAAAGAACCTCTCTGTTCACACGCACGGCTCAGAGTGCGTCAGCAAAATTGACTGAGAAATTATTGTATCGTCAACAGCAGACTCTTTGTTTAGTGCTAAATATAAAGAAAAACTTGTTGGATTTCAAATAAATATAGCGAGAGGCCACCGCAGGCGCCTAATAAACACCGTAATGGAACACAGACAGAGAGAGAACGTAAGGAAGAGTCCAATATCAAAATCTGTTTCAGGATCAGAGCCGCTATGTAATGTGTCATTCCTGATTCAGATGGAATTGTGTGTGTCAGTCTTTGATGTACATGTGTGTATTAGTGTGTGCGTGTGTGTAGGGGGGGTTTGTGTATGTTGGCAGCATACACTGACAGCCTGGGAGTTAAATACTTGGCTGTCCTGTTATTCATAATGAGCCCCAAAGCGATGTCCAGTTTTACTGTGTCTATCCGGTTTGTGTGTAGTATGTGTGCATGCCAGTGTCCGTGCATGTGTGTATATGCATTTGTGTGTTTGTCCAGCATGGCACCAACCTAGATCCTATGCCAAGCTTCCCATTAGTGAAGCACAGTCCATTAAAACCCCATTAACAATCCCTCTTAGAAAAAAGAAAAAAAACATGCACACTCAAAAACATTCTCATATACAACACACACACACACACACACACACATATGTACACACATACTGTAGACACGCGCCAGTCCGCCTTCCCTTCTGTTATTGGGAAACTTTTGCAACCTCAGGTCCATTCCATTTTCTCAGATCAAGGTCATGAAGGGAATTTGTAAAGTGAATACATATGGACAAACAGACGTCCACCTTCTCTCCCTTCTGTCTCGTTGGTCATCAAACCTCACTCACATTGCCCTCTTTTATATTTATTTACAGTTTTTGAGAAAGAACATAGCCCCATTAGCATCTTCTCTATTGGTCTGTCCCTCTTTAGGTTGTCTATGCCGTCCCTGAAGAGGACCGACGCTGGCCTGTATCAGTGCACCGTGAGGAACAGGATGGGAGCAGTCATACACAGGAAAACAGAGGTGCAGGTGGCCTGTAAGTACACACACACTCACACACTTTGGTATAAAGTCCTAACCACTGATTTAACAGCACCAACACAGGAGTCTTTTTAATGAGAACGTCTTTGCCCTCGCCAACAACAACTCACAAAGTGAAATCTTAAATAAAGTCAATTTGGTAATTTTTATTGTAATTGAAAAGAAAGAAGTAAACAGGTTCCTCTCTAACCATGCAATTTAATTTCAGTTGCACTGATGTGGTAATGTAATATGTGTTAAATATGTAAAAATATTAAGGTTATTCCAAAAATGAAACACATTTTTAAGGCTAATGGCCTGGTCCCAGCAACATCTAAAATGGAAAACAATTAATTCATTTTAGTGTAATCACTCCTTCGGTAAACTTTTAGCATGTAAATTGACCAACAACAAGCTGTCTCGACAATGCTGACCTTTGGGGGAACTGAGTCCGACATGCACCATTCAGTTTGATCAAACCTGTTCTGTTTGAGTATAGACTGCTGTCGATGGTACCAAGACGTCTTTGAATAAAGTATTTGTTCATTATCCTGTTAACAAAGAAGCTAAATCGCTCACTAACTGATGAATACCAACCTTGGTAACCCTGAGATCTTTTCCACTCAGTTTTGTTCAATCCTGAGAACAGAAGGCAATGAACAGCCCAGCACTGATAGAACAGAAAGCAGTTTGGGGAACTTTTGTGACTACAGAGTAGCGTTCGCATGTTGGCGTTTAAATTACCCACCAGACCCAAGTATCCCTGCCTGCAGCCTGCAGAATGAGGAACTGCTTAGCTTTGAATGAAAAATCACAGCCACTGTGGTCTGATTTTTTAAAAAATGTCAAATATGGGCAGAGATAAATGTTGATTTCATTGGTTTAGACTGTGGTTTGGGTGGAGTTAAACAACACAATTTTATAAAATGAAAACTGGCATACATTCCTTAACCAACAGTGTTGCTACTCATCTGTCTTCGTTTCCAGTCGTTATTACGACTTTGTTTTCATCCAAAGGGCATCATGGCCACAGCTCAGACCCTTGTTACAAGACCATCAACAGTGGTGGAACGTTACTGTCGTACATTTGGTCTAATACTGTAGTCAAGTACAAATTTGAGGTTCTTCTTCTTTTCTGGCCAAGAGGGAAACATTCTACTTTCCAGTTTTAAATGTTCATCATGAACTAAAATATCTTCTTGCATGGGGAGAAAGAAATCCCCTACTTCTTCTGCTAAATATGACACGTTACTGCAGATTAAACTACACAGTGGTAAATAAAGTTGGTAAAATTCATCCTTAAATGTCTACAGCAGCAAAATACAGCAGAAACATAAATACAGCAGTAATATTAAAAACATAAAATAGTAAAAACACACAGATCATTGTTCTGCAGAATTTGAACTGTTATATTTAAATGTTATTTTATTTTTTACACATTTTAACGCGAACACTTACATACTTTTACTTAACTAAGGTAATAACATACATTTTGTTCTTCATATACCAGCTATTAGCGTGACACTGAACGCTCACAGTTGGCATCCAGTCACAATCGATGTTTATATCTGCCTGAATTTAAAAGGTCAAACCAATCAAATGGCTGTGGGTGGCATTATTTAACTCCACCTTATTCTGCAGGCTGCTGCTTGGTACTCCTCTTTAGACCTGCATGTGTACTTACTCTGTCATGAACGTCACTGCTATTTTTAACCATAGGGTTAAATGTCATCTGATTCATCGGTCTTGATACACATGTTCTTCGTCCCTCTCTCTCTAAAGTTTTGGGAAACGTCTCCGCCGAGGAGCAGAGAAAGACGGTGACTCAGGGCCGAGCAGCCATCATCAGCCCGCCTCCTCTCGCTTCCTTTCCTCGACCCCTAGTCACATGGTACAAGGACGGACACAAGATCATCCCAAACAACCGAATGTAGGTGGCTCTTTTACTCTCTTGCTCTTTCTAGCACTCGCCCGTGTTTATATGTTGCTTTATGCAAGCTCCTGAGTACAAAGTGTGGCTAACAAAATGCCACTTGAGATAAAAAATTTAATTTTACCGTTCTTATCCCTCAGTGGTGTACTAATTAGCGTGCTCCAGACGCTCTTTTTAATCCTTGCACGTCAATTGTTATAAATAATAGGCCATTTAGATAGCTGACCCTTTTCATCACAATAGACTTAGGACTTCATCAAGAAAAGATAAAACAGACTTTTCAGTGAATCAAATCTACAAGGTTATTAAGTAATTTGAGGTGCACGGGAGATGTTCTTTTATATTAATTGTACAGCAAAGATATGAGGGTGTCTGGATGTGTTGTGTAAGCTGTATTTCACAGCCTTCTGTTTGATGCTATTGTCTGACTCCTTTGAAATGCCTGCAATTTGCATATTATTTCTTAGTTGCAACAGATATCCAGTCCCTGTCATTATTTAGAAAAACGCTCGTACGCTGTGTTAATAATGTAAGTATTCAGAGCAGGGAAGTAGGTTTGCTGTGAAAGGTTTTCAGAGTAATGTGCTATAGATCCGGGCACTATCTTAAATTATGTAGCTTTTTGAATCTACTCATCAATGAAAGTAGGTGTTGAGATTGAGACCCTCAGTGATTTTATTAGGCTGTGCTCGCACTCTGAGATAACTAACTCCCCATTAAGAACACTAACTGCTCCCCAGTGTGTTATTGTTCGAAATTGTCAGTGGCCTTGTTGTACACGTAAACGGCCAGACAGCAACTTTTTCACTCTTTAATGACAGTCACCACCTCAAAAGTGCTTTTTAGAAAGCTTTGTGGAGTCAGGTTACATAAGCATTTTTTTTTTTTTTTTGTTTCTGGTTCACATCAAGTTTGACTTTGCTTTTTAATTTGAATGAACATGGATAATGTTCTCCTGTTAACTTAATGGGGCTTCATTGAGTGTGGCTTAATGACAGTGGACTGCAATTATTTTGCTACTCAAGACGCTGCCTGCATTGAAAGTGTTTACTGTCAGAGCGTCACCGCTACACTGTTAGCCTCCGCAAACTGCACTCCCTGCTGCTACCCGTGAAAAACAGAAAACGAGTAGTCCTTGTTATTGTTGCCGATTATTCCATGACAAGAGCCTATTTACACATTTGAATAACTATATGTATTGTAAATGAACGTGTCAAAACTAGCGAGATGAAGTCTCTGCAAAAGACAGGATGTTGTTCTTGCCATCTTCACTCATCCTTATTGTCAAAAATAAGACCACTACCACCACTAGCAATTTGATTTTTAAAAAATGAAGAAACATATGAAAATACTGTAGAATGATGGTCCCCAATGCTGCAAATGTGAACCAGAAAAAAGCTTTCTGTCACATCCTTTTTTAAAAATTTGAAGGCCACTTATCCATGTTAAAGTATCATTTAAAGCAGTACGTGAGGAGCAGCTCGGGCCGTCCTTTCTCCACATAGCTTGTTCAGTTTCTTTTTGTAGCAGGAAGGATGAAGGATAGCCTCACAGACCTGCTATGGAGGCTATAGATTCAGGTCTTTTTTATTCCTGAAAAGCCCTCGTTTGTGAGATGTCATGTGATGCCAAGGCGAGGTGGAAAGCCAGCAAATAGTCATTTAAACCTTCAGGTTGAAGTGTATTCGTCATCTGCCGCAAGTTAAAGCCGACAGGAATGAAACGTTTTACCACAGGCTGTTTATCCATGTTCATCCGACCAAATTAAACAAACTTAATCAACGTCATTGATTAAATTGAGAAAAAAATGATAAAACTATTCCATTTAAAAATGCACAGTCCATGCATTTTATTATCAGAACAACTCATTAAATTCATGGGCTTCCTCAGCTATTTATTTCAGAAATAGCTAGATTGTACTGAATACCCGACTGCCTCCACTAAAGTCGTACGAAATTAAGGCATTTTTATGAAATACGACGTCAGTGGCATTCTGGTAATAACTAGCAGAGGTGCTCTTTTATACGGCGAAAGCTTGGTGCTCAATGCATTTTATTTAGAGCGTACTGTATACCGATTGTATGCAGACAGAGGGAGTTGTGTTGCCTCCAGTAGTTTGAAATAGATAATTTCCATCTCATTTAACTCTATTGAGTGCCCACAAGAATCTCTGTACTCCTCAGGAGAGCTGGATGAGAGACAGAAACTGAGAGATTCATCCATATTTCGCGTGACATTTCTCTCTTCTCTTCTGGGAAACAGCTGGCAAAGACCAGTAAATTAAGATTAAAATCAGTCTTGTTGCTCAATCAACAGCTCTCTACAAGCGCAGACTACATTTACTGGTATTTGAGCCAGCCAGCTATTGTAAAGCCTTGTCCATTTGCTCATCAGCTAGAAGTTTCTCGCCAGTAAACATTTGCGCCTCTGGTTGCCTCGGTAACTCTTGTATATTTTCAATCCCAAATGTTTCTGAGTGAAACGGATTAGCCTTTTAGCTTCTATTAGTTCTCACATAACTCTGTATATAAACATATCGGATGTGACATATGAGCTGTGAGTGCAGTCATATGTCGATACACGCGGTATTCTTTGCTCACTTTGGTAGTCGCTTCAGTGATGCCACCTCAAAGTTCTACAATTCTACAATTTCATTTGGCAGACACCTTTATCCAAAGCTACGTACATCTGAGAGAGGATACAACACAAGCAAAGATCGATTCAGGAGTAAACAATCTGGATAAGTGCCATAGAACAAGTTCAGGTGTGGTAGGGCGTTGATGCCAATAGCAGGTTGTGTGGGAGGTAATATGAATTTTTTTGGTTTGTTTGTTTTCAGTCTGTCAAGTGCAAAGGTGTTTAAAGTTGACGGTTATGTTGCCTGCCATCGATAGATGTTGCTGAATCTCACTGACCTTCCAGGGTTTTTTCTGTGTAAAAAAACTGAAAAGATTGTATGTTTTAACTTAAAAATATTAGACGTTAAGTTTGTAATTTTGTGAATTTAAACCTCAAATTCAGTATCTAGTAAAATGTGTATAGAAAAGGGGAAGTAGTGAGAATGTCCCTGAAGTATGAATTTAATGCTCCTTTAGATAGTCTTGATTATTTAAGGCTGATTAACCGAAACCTCCAAAGTAAGAAACTGAATCAGAGGCAGAGACACATCTATAGAATACTGATTAACACTTACTTAATTAATGTCTAGCAACGAATCTTTTCAGATTCAAACAGCTGTTCTGTGTTTTAAGTCTGACACATATTCACACTCTTTGAATGACAAATGGACTCAAGCAGAAATTTGCGGGATGCAGTCTAAAATAATGGATCACCACCGAGTGCATGCTGCTGCCCTTTTATTGATCACCAGGCATTATGACATCCTTCCACAGTTCTATATGCAAATAAGTAGTACCTCATATCTAAGTGCAACAACCGACTATGGTGTTCTTTTAACTGGTCGTTTGCCAAAAATATGCAGCCATATGTGGTCTAGAATAAATCCAGATTTAGTCTGAGTGCGTCCTCTATGCATCATGGCTGCATTCACACCTGTGCTTACAGCTGTCTGCTTGTGATCGGTTCGCCCGAGACACATGTTAATGCCAAGTGTGAACATGCCTACAAGACATAAACTGAAGAGTCTCTTTCTCTCCACTAACTGATAAGATGTGATTATTTATTCCTATTAGGAGAATGCGTGCACACTTGAGTATAGTGTTATGTTGGCAGTGTCTTTGGGCCAAGAAGTTCTGATTGGTGTGAAACTTGGAAGCAGACAGTCTAAAGCTCCTTTCAGACATGCACTGCTTTCCATTAATCTGACAGCATCTAAACAAGGAAGGCTTATTCCACATTCCAAAAAAGATCACAGAGAGTGTGAAAAACAAGGTGCCAAAATCACAAACACCTTTCATGTGTATTGAGTTTTGCCTCATTCATTTTGTGATCTGATTTCACAGCTATTACAGAGTGAAACATCCTTAAAAATATCTGTATGGCGACGAAGACAGCCTGTAACAGGTTAGATTAATAAGTCTCACCCATAATATAACATCAAGAGGAGCTAAAGTTCAGCTGAAGCTCAGTCTGTTGCTTTCAGCTGTTTGTAGGCGTCTTTGCTCAGAGTTCATTGCGTAGCTACCTGAAGCATCGTTCTGCAGGCGGATCGATATAAGGGTCGCTAAAGTTAAAAACACCTTTCTGACATGTCAAGTTTCTGTCTCACAGCAGGATGTTTGCAGTGGTGGCATAATTGTCTGTGTGGGACAGGGACAGTGTGTGCTCAAGGGTTACGGACTTGAGGGCACGATTCAAGGCCACTTGGCTGCTCCAGAACCTTGATTCTGTGGCACGACATAAGTCCGGACGACAGAGACACTGGAGAGTTGCAGTTTGGTAGATGGCCGTTGACTCACTCGGAGTTTGTCCGGCTTTTGCAGATATTATTTTTGGTTCCACGGGGTGTCTACCCACTCATCTACGCTGTTTGGAAACAACCGGTGGGCTGAGCCAGTTTAGTCGCCGATAATGAACAGGTAGAACCAGGTTACATGTTTACTGGTAGCAGTCAGTCTTATTGACCAATATGGCTGATCAAGCTGACTGACTGAGTGGACCTGTCTGTGTGGATGCTTCCCATAACTACACATAGAGAGCAAGTGACCTAATCATTAAAGTAACTACAAAAATATGGCAACAGGTAGTTAAGGAACAATGGCACACACATTTTAAATCGATGTAGGTTAACAAACATCATCTCACATAGACAAAACCTCACCCTTTTCACACGGCTCTGTCCATGGCTGTCGTTGGTATGTCTGAATAAAACTGCGAAAATCATTAAGATAAAAGTGACCTATGTCTGAATGACAGCATGCCCTCACTTACGTGGAGTTACGTATGTTACACATCCCATGTCTGAAAGGGGCTTAAAATTCAAGGCTTTTGCACCTGTATCCATGGCAACTACAGAAAAATGACAGCTGGATCTGCCA